GGGAGGGAGGGAGGGAAAAGGGAAGGTAAAGAAAAGGAGGAGGGCAAAGCAGAAGCGAGGGAAAGAAAAGAGAGAAGGGAGACTGAGAAGGGGAAGGGGAAGGGAAGGAAGGGAAGGAAGGGGGGAAAGGGGAGGGGAGAGGAGGGGACAGAAGTGTAAGAAGATGTTAAGAATGAGGTACAAATCAAGTTAGTAAGCCAAGACATTTAATGAGAAATTGCCAGGTTAATTTTGTTACAATATATTTAACTTCTAAAACAACACAAAGACAAAACATAAACTAAAATTCTTCTTAGGTAATAAAACATTGTTGCAAACTACACCACTTGTATGTACATTTTTTCTTAAATATTTTTTGTTTATATGTTTTTTAATTATTTAACAACTGCATGATTAGAAGAAGCATTTCATTAGACCTTTAACATATTCAATAACAATTTCTAGAGCAAAGATACCCCTCTTTCCAAAGTAGCTGTAAATTTTTAGGTTAACAGTTGAATTAATACAGTTATACAATATTGAACTCAGTATAAACCCTATAAGACATAAAATTGAATGAGGTTTTAACTTTTAAAAAAGATCTCTATTTCATTTTAAAATATACTATTTCCTACAGAAAAACTCATTTTTAATGCTGCTAACACTTAGATGTTTGCACATGCATCTCTAATCTTTATTACTAATCACAGTTGGCTACACTTGTATCCTTGGTACCTGAGTATGGATATAAAGTCATCAGGTAGATTTCAGTGGTAATATTTTTCACCTTTACTAATTAACATGAAGCAAATTTTTATGCTTCTTCCTCAAATATAACTCATTCTTATACATTTTAACTGAAATAGGAATGTTGAAAAATTCCAGTGGACAAATTTTAAAGGAAGAAGACTGAAGGGCCATAAAACATTTGACAAGGTCTTTCTCAAGAAATAAAGACAAGATTGAACCCCATTTATTAGAAAATGTGAGTCTATCTGTGGTATAACTTTTCAAAAAATCATTTTAAACCTCACCTGGTTCTGTTTTAATGTGGACACTAGTTTCTGCAATGTGATATTTTCTTCTTCCAGTTCTGTATAGTCCTGAAGCAGTCGGGCCTCCCGGAATTTATATTCTCGGATTTCATCCTTCATCCGTATTCTCTGTAGCTCCACCATCTCATTGTTCTGAAACAACAATATATGTAATCAATACAAAACTGCCTTATTCTGGGTTTTATGAAATGTAGAAAAAGACCTGGTAGTTAATAACAAAAATTTCCTGGATTTAAATTGCTGCTACATTTTAAAATGGCAATTTAGTGATACCTGTCAAAATACCTCATTCTTAAACATATTTTCAAAGAGATAAGTTTAAAAAAATTCATGTTTGCTCACACAAAGAATGAGAACTAGACTAAAGGTTTGCTATTTGGAATAATGTTGAAATAAATTATTTCATTCTCTGAATGGAACATTGTAAAGTTATTTAAAAGAATGAGAAAATAATAAGCAGGAGGAACTTTAATGTACTAAAATGGAAACAAAGCTACAATACATTATGCAATGTGAAATGTAAGCTATACACCAGTACGTATAATAGGATCTCATGTGTGTTAAAAATAAAGGGGGAGGTGGGTATAGTGGAACAGATCTGTAATCCCAGCACTTGGGAGGTAGAGACAGGAGGATCAGGATCTTGAGACCAGTTTGAGTTACAAAAATAAAATTATAAATAAATAAAAAATAAAGGGGTGCACACATGTGCATATGCATACACACACAAACTCTACTTTCATATTACAAATAGGATGGGGGAGAGGGTATGGATGTGAGTAGGAAATATATGAAATTTTAAAAGCTCAATAAATAGTAAATAAATTATAAACAAGAAAAAAGAAAATCAAGACTCAAAGATGAAGCTGAAGAATTGAATGATTCAAGCAAAGAATATACACACAATATAAAAACACAGGGATGGAATATTTAGGAAATGTGGGACACATG